AAGAGTGGCAGGATGACTTTGTGAAAAACATGTTTTTCTGCCTCAACCTTGTAAATTTCCTCATCCTGTAAAAACATCCTGCCTCGTGGTCTGACTGTGGAATGGTCTGACTGTGGAATGTGCGGTAAACAGCGGAACTTACCCGCCCAGCTTCTTCCGCCCTCTGTTTCCCTATAAAAGCTTTGTACAAACGTTCAATAAAGAGAAGAGACTTGAAAGTGAAGTGAACCTCATCTTGGCGTCCGTGTTGTCCTTTCCTTGGCTCTGCTGGTCAGAGTCGTGGCTTGCGGCACAGCCCCAATAAAATATATTTTTAAAAACATGACAAAAGTATGAATTCTGTGTTTCTTAACTAAATTGTTTTCCTAATTGGATAATGTGAGCCATTACAAGAGAAATACTGGGCACTCTAAGTATCTAGCAAATTACATCTAAGCCACCATGTAAACATTGAATTGGCATATATGCTATTAAAATATATTCAAATACTTGAAAAAATTATATACATCTAAACACTCATGTATGTGTATATACACACATTCATAATATATGAACATAAACATATAACGAAAGTTTCAAATTTCATGCAGTTACTACTTTGGAGTTAAGAAGCTAACCTGGAGGACCTGGGTAGGGATGAAAGTTCACCAAGGCCCAATGTCATCATTAACAAAAAGGAAAAATATCAAAACCGTTAGAAATATCAGGAAACTAAATCATTACACTGAATACACAGAATACAAGTTAAAATTTAATTCAATAATAGAACATTGAGAAAGTTCATACTCATGCATCTGTATATAAACCAAATTATCTCCATTTATCAGTAATGCTAAAATGAAAATGATATATATAATATATTTTGAAAGTCGAATACAACATTTATATAATTTTCATTACTATGATCTCGGACTCAGATCAATCAATTTTAATGCAAGTTTGGTTTAAAGCTTCATTTTAGATCTGTAGGTTATAAACAAATTAAAAACTCAAACACCCATCAGATATGTATTCCTCAGAGTGATTTTGTTATTACTTCTTTAAAACTAGTGATTTTTAAAGCATCTATGTAACTAATGCTTTTAAGTTGACATGTTTTAAAGGAACATTTGACAATGAGCTCCATTACTAGTAACTAATAACTGTAATGCTAATTAGAGTATAAAAAGATAATAATTTGGTTTACTTAAATTATTACATGCAAAGCAAGATACTAGATTCTATTCTTTATATGGCATGCAAGAAAGTTAATATGGCTGAGAATTATTTCACTGATTTTCTTCAGTAGTAAACAAAGGAAAAATAAATAATCCCCTTTAGGGCCAGCCAAGTCAGATCACATTAAATGTGGTTTAGAAAACGATTCTCATAATTCAGTATATCATACTATTTAAATCATGTTTTCAGGGCACATATTAGTAAAATCAACTGCAGTTATAATTTTACTGTAATTTAAGTACAGTTTCTCATTTTAGGGTGTACTTGAAAAATTAGGAGTTTTCAAACAATGAAAAGACAGTTGTTTGGTTTCTTATGATCTCAGATTTCACCTTCTTTTCAAATGAAAGCCAAATTTTCTCTTACCAGAAAAAGTTACTATCAAGTATCAAAAATTATTTCATAACCTACCACCAGTGATTGAGCTCAGCAACATTAATCCAGGATGAAAATGATCATTTCCAAATGAAATGAAATGACACAGCACAGGCACAAAGTGAAAAGGTCAACACTGGACATACAATTGAGCTACTGAAGTTGTGTGCACAGGACAAATGAGGTGCAGACATGAGGTTGGTATGGAGAGACTGAGAGTCAATTTGATCATGCTGTGATGCTGAAGATAAATTTGATTGCCTAGCTCCTAGAGATCAAGATGTTTTTATTGTGCCTGGTGACATTTGCTGACCATGTGACAGAACCATAGCAACAGCTTCTGGTATGAACCAAAAGCATCTATTTGGTGATCACTAAAATGATGTCTGTGATGACATGCTGAGAGGCTCACAGCAAAAATTGCAGATCATATTTTGCTGCCAGGTTATCAGGAAAGTTTTTCTTTAATAAGAAGACTTAAAAAACACCATTTCCCTTTTCGTTTTTCCATCCAATTTGTTTTGATTTACTTTGACTTTAAGTAAAAAATAAATGCAGAATATATATATATATATATGCTGAATAGAGCTAAGCAGGAACCAAGCAATTTTCGTATAAGAAGTGCTTATGTTAGAAATTCTAAAATCTTAAAGACAGGATAACCTGCCAGCAAAACGAAATAAGTGGACTAGTAAACAGACCATTCCCCTAACACTCGTGAACATACCTGGTCTCCCCGGAGGACCTTGTGGCCCAGGGTTGCCTTTAGGTCCTTCTAAAGCTGGTCCAGGAGAACCAAGAGGACCTGGGGGACCTGGCATACCAGGGAAACCCTGAAAGCCTGGTTCACCCTTCGGACCTGAAAGGCCAGGACTTCCTGGAATGCCAGGTGATCCTCCATCACCCTTTTGACCTGTAAAAGTACAATGAAATTAGAGAACACACTAAATGACACTGGATACTGAGTTAAAACCTTGCCTACAAGCATAAAACTACTAGATAAAGTAGTGGAATTCACTAGGGTAATATGTATTTCAAACCCATCAAAAAAAACCATCCTTCCTATTAAACGCATGTATCTGTTATCAGAAGTATTTTATTTAATAGAAATGTAGAAACAAAAGTCAAGGAGACCTCTGTGAGTTTGAAGTCAGCCTTGTCAACATAGCAAATTCCAGGTCAGGTAGGGTTCTGTAGTGAGATGATGTGGCAAAAAGAAAATAAATTATTCAGCTCTTGGAAAAAAAACAAAAATTATGAAATTTGCAGGTAAATGGATAGAACTGCAAGCAATCATTCTGAGTAAGGTAACCCAGACCCAGAAAAACAAATGCTACATGTTCTCTTTCATAGTTAGATGCTAGCTTTAAAATCATACGCATGCATGTTTCAGCTTGAAAATTCAGAGAGGTCAAAATCTAATAAATGGCAATGGGTGTGGTGGGGGAGGCTCCCTGGAAGGAAAGGTAGAATGTAGTGATAAAATGGGGAAAAGGGTAGGTAGGAATAGAGCAGGAAGGGTTAAAAGGGGTGGAGAATGGGAGGGCAGGGTAGAGGGAGTATAAGGACTTACAACTAACACTAAAGGCCTTTTTAAAAAGCCATATAGGGACTGAAGAGATGACTTAGTGGTTAAGAGCACTGGATGTTCTTGCAGAGGACCCAGGTTCAAATGCCAGCACCCACATGATGGCTAACAGCAGTCTGCGATTCCAGTTCCAGAGGATATGACACCCTCTTCTGTCCTCTATGGGCATCGTATGACATGAGTGCACTTACATACATGCAGGCATAACACTCATAAGAATAAAATAAAATTAAAGCAAAAAATTACTTTGCTTCCCTGGACCTGCACTACTCACAGGCCTCTCACGGGTAAGTCAATCATGCCCTCTGTGCCTTGACTTCCCCAGCCTCATTCATCCTCCCATGGGCCCCGCCGGTCTCTCCCCCTAGCCTGGGTCCTGTCCCATTCCTTATCTTGGTGCTACAGACACGGGGGGTACCACCACTGTTTCCTGATCCTTTGCATCCAGACCAACTCAGTTCCATCCGGGGTCCACAGGAGCCCTCTAGGCCTGGCCCACCCTCACCTGCCTCTGCTTCCCTGGGCTGCACAACCCTCCAGCCTCTTTCTTGGACACTGCGGCTGACCTTTCCACTTCCTGATCCTTTGCATCCAGACCAACCCAGTTCCTCAGTGCAGTCTCCAGGAGCCCTTGGGGCCTCTTCCCGCCCCCATCTTCCTTTGCATCTCTGGGTGGCACGGCCACCAGCTGCCCTAGACCAGCATCTTTCCAGGGCCCTGCTCCCAGGCCAGTCCAACCTCAAATTCCTGAGGCCAAAATCTTTCCTGGAGGGAATCAGATCTTAGGAGAAAGCCTGAGAGCCTCAGATCCTCATCTGACTTGGGCCTCTGTGGGAACTCCTGAAGACAAAAGCAATCTGGCCACTCCAATAAAAAATCAAAAGAGACAACCGGAAGCTTAGACGAACCAGCTTTTCACGCCCCAAAAGTAAACCACAAAGACACATAAAGTTTACAAAAAGAAGTACAACTAAACTTGAAGGCTTGAGTCTCACACAAGAATCAGAAACTATAAAAGAAATTCACATGTCAAAACCACAGAGAAAAAATAATAACATGAAAAACCAAAATAACATATCCCCACCAAATACCAATAGTCCTCTAGAGGAGTACAATGAGAGCCCCCTAGAGATAATGCAGGACATGGAACTCAAAAGAAGAATTATAAACAGGATAAAAGAATTGAGTGAATTTAAAGAACATACAACAAAGAAATCAAATAACTGAAGGAAGATAGAGATAAACTTCTGAATGAATTCAGAAAAGAGCTAGAAATATTGAAGACTATTCAGGCTGAAATGAAGGAATTGAAACACTCAGTAAGCCAATTAGAAACGACAGGAGAAAGCCTCACCAATAGGATGAATGAAATGGAAAACAGAGTATCAAGACTGGAGGATAAAATGGACGAACTAAACCACTCAAGCAAAGATTATGAAAAATTTAAGAAATTGTGTGACACCATAAAAAGACCAAACTTACAAATCAAAGGCATACAGGAAGGAGAAGAATCCCAAGATAATGGCATGGACCAGATCTTCAACAGAATAGTGGAAGAAAATTTCCCCAAATTAAAGAAAGACATGCCCATACAAATACAAGAAGCATATAGAACACCAAACAGACAGGACCAGAGTAGAAACTCTCCACAGCACATCACAGTAAAAACACTAAACATCCAAAACAAAGAGACAATACTGAAAGCTGCAAAAGAGAAACAACAAGTCACAAATAAAGGAAAACCCATTAGGATTACAGCTGACTTTCAGTGCAAACTATCAAAGCAGAAGAGCCTGGACCAAAGTATTCCTAGTTTTAAATGACCACAGATGCCAACCCAGATTACTATACCCAGAATGTCTATTATAGTCAAGGGGGAAAGAAAATCTTCAATGACATAAATAGGCTGAAGGAATTCATGTCCACATAACCAGCCCTTCAGAGAGTTATGGAAGCAATACAAAGAGCTGAAGGAAGGAATGACTATACCAAAGGGGTTGC